GATTAAGGCTAAGGGTCTAGCCAACACAAAGACAACCACATGGTAATACAATTATGTGACAGCCGAATCTTAATGATTCTTCTTAGTTATCTTTAAAAGGGGAAATAACCGAAAAAAGTTCAGAATCTCCTCGACAACTTTTTAATCCTCAATTTTTTTACAGGTTTGTGTATCCTTGTAGAAAGAAGGCATAACGGCAAAGTTTACGTCTGAGATAAATAGTCCCCATCGAAAATTATATCTCCTATTAAAAGGATATTATTTCCAACTAAGCCTAAAGGATAATTCTTGTCAAGAATTGACTATGTTATTCCCTGGCTGGAGACGTCACCTAATATTTTATTTATATTAGTCTCCTTTTATTGATTTACCAGCATTTCCCCAGATTTCTATTTACTTACTACATTATCTTTTAACTTTCATTTAATAATAAGCCGTGCAGATTGTTATCGCCAGAAAACGACAACAGGTTTTGCTTTAGGTTCGGTTTTCCTTGGATGTCCATTCTGCTGCAGCCTTCATGAAACCCCTTAGGTTGCGATAAAAGGGCGCTAAGCTTTCTTCTGTCGCACAAAATTAATCTCGATTTAACAATGTTAATTCAGGAGTTTTATTTAAAACTAGTTACATTCTGTTATAGATTCTCGCGATAACCGTACTCTCATATCTTCTGCCCTTTTAAGATTACGCTACAAGAGCCTCTAGCCATCACTTTTCCCTACAAAGTTCAGCGTCTTCCAGTAGGCCACCGGCAACCAATCAGATAGATTCAGCTCCAAAAGTTATTTATAACAGTGAAGCAACGGTTGGAGATGAGGGTGATGACGGAGAGTATGACGATGACGAAGAGGAGGGTGGTGGTACAACGGAAGATGGCAGCATTGATACTGAAGAAGAGGTTGTTGGTGCTAAAAATCAAGTTGAAAACTCTGTTAATCACACCACTAAGGCTGGAAAAATTTATGCTCCTCGGCCTATTAGTAGAAGAGGCCGCCAAAGACGACACACTTTGGGCCCCACGGATGGAGATGGTGAGTTTATTCACGACTTTAAGGCTAGTTTGAAAGTTTGGCATCTAGTGTTTATATATTCGCCTATTAATGCAAACAGTGGCCCTCTGGTCTTAGTAACACTTGAAGCTTATTCCCTTTCAGATCTATCATTCTTTATATTATTATTTATATTATTGTGCTTTCCTAGTGCTTTATCAATTTATTTATTTTGCTATTGATATTTTCTTCATTTATTTACATAATTGTCTGTTTTTTATTCTATTAACTCCTTTTGATCTTCGCTTTTCCATTTGATTGTGCGTGGCCAGTTTTATTACCTGAACTTTACCTTTCGCAGCTTTGTGTTTGAGGCTCAGTCTAGCTCAGGTCTATGCTAGAGCCTTATTAGATCTTGAGAATTTGTCACCATATAACCAATTGTGGCATATACAAACCTGAAACATACTTGGTCATTGCCATCGGCGCATAATACGCTATAGCTAATCTCTTGAGTTGTCCC